CTGGCGTGCCAGTCCTGTGAGCTTCCCACCCACCATTAGCTGTCTGTGCCGCCTCGCTGACCGCCTGCCTACCAATTCAGATATCATAGCATACGCATCGACCCCGTCCACTACTGCGATCGGGAAGCCGACCTGGCAGAACAACGAAAGAAGTCGCGTTTCGATCGAAATGCAATCCCCGAGGATCCGGCACAGGCCAGATTGCGCCTGCTGCGACGCACCGTGCGCGACGATCCAACAAGGCTTGGAAAGCTAGTCCGATACCTGAAGATTCCCTACATGATTCGCGAGTCCTGCCATGTTGAGCTGGCCCAAACCATAGCAGTTCTCCCTAACCTGCATTATGTTGACCTACCAGAGGGCATGTTCTCTGATGAGCCCAGTTACACCACTCTTCGCCTCGAAGTCCAGGCCCGCTGCCCCGGCATTCGCAAGATGACCTATAGCAGAGGTTCAGAACGCAGTCTGGCAGAATTATCGACGGGTCGGATCTGGACGCAGCTGGAGGTCCTCGAACTGGACAATATCCGTATCGACCCCATTACTTTGAGAAACGTATTATCCTCTCTCTCGAACCTTCGCGCCTTCCAGGTTTCACGGACCGACAGTCTGACGGATCAGGTATTGATATGTGAAGACGGAATGCCATCTTTACCTCCTCTTGAGAAGCTGGTCCTGCGAGATATCCCTCATGTGACCGTCACCGGAATTATATCGTACTTGGCCTGGCAGGAGACACAGCAAGCCTTGAAGGTGCTAGAGCTTCTTAACACAGGAGTGCACCCTTCAAGCACGCAGGAGATCCTTCTGAGGGGCACCAGACTCAAGTCTTTATCCTTGCAAACGCAGATATCCGAGCCATTCCCCAATGGCGCTGGCATACGCCCATTGGCCTCTAAGACGCTTAACACTCTGCATTTTGAAATTTCAGGGCCTTCTCGCACCGGCCCCTACTCGGATCTTGAGAGCGGCTACTACAGCTACCTTGCCTCCTCAATTCTTGGAGGTGGATTGCCGAGGCTACGTAAGCTCTACGTCCTCGATGAGACCATGCCTATACAGCTTCAAGGTCTCACCCCTCCTGGGGCTGCTTTTGCGTCAAATCGCGCCAGATCCCGAAGTTTCACAGCTTCCACATCGGGACCACTGCTTCCCTCCTTGAAAATCCCAGAAGCTCCTGGCGGCCATTCGCTATCGCCACCCCAAGGTCATCGTCGGCCACTTTCCAATATAACACCTCCCAGTCCGAACCGGCTCAGTTCTAATAATCCTTTCGCCACCGGTAACCCCAGGTTTGCTCCACCGCCCACACACACGCTCGAGGTGTTTACCAAGAGCGATGAACTAGGGAGCTGGAACTTTTCACGTGTCAACTCATCTGCCTACATGGACTTCGGCCACGGCGACACGGGCAGGCCAGGAAGCAGCTATGGTCTTGGGGCAGAGCTTTCCAGGGGAGCTTGGGATGCCGGTGAGGCCAGAAGAAGCGTCATGGTTGGTACCGGAACAGGTGCCTTTTTGGCCGTTCCCACCAAGCAAGAGAATCCTTTTGGTGGTTCAGACAGCAGATTTTCGGGTTCTACCGACTCATGGAGGCCAAAGAGTAGTGGCGGAGACTCCTTTGCATCGAATCGCGATTTGTGGAGGTAAATGAAGGTTTTGTGGAAAGATACCAACACTATTTTTAATGCCTCTATTTTATGCGTTGGTCAGGAATGTAAGGATTCTACAGCTCCCGGAGGGACTGCAAACTGGGTGGGCCTAATATCTTGGGTACTATGCAAGGACGACGCTCTCCAACATTGCACAGGTGCTAGACACTTGTGACCATTATCGCGAAGTCCAAGAATTCCCATGGAACATGAGCTGATGTACCAAAAGTCAAAGATCCTCTGTGGGGGAATATGGAGGAGCTCAACAAATTAATGCAGACAGTGTATGTAATTATCGGAGTTTAGGTGGCAATGGTATGCTTTCTGGTCTGAATGATGTTTACCAGAGCAAGGATGTCCCTTGCCCACCACTATAGCATGACAAGCCCATTTCCAGGCCATGGAGGACGGCCTGTGATTTACGAGAAGGTGCCATCCGGGTGACAGAAGAGATGAGACACCAAATGTCTAGTCCTGATACCTTTTTGGTGTGATGAGTATTTTAATTACCCCAGGCCGAGAATAGACAGATAACAGACAATGCACTCTTTACCATCGAATCATATGATTTTTATTGTTGTACTGTTCTGAATAATATCGTGAACGATATTCATCAATATAGCGTCTCATTGCTTCTCCTCTACCACTCAGGCGCATATATCGCAACCACCTACCTTTACAGAGCACCAATAGTTCTTTCCGATCACGCAGCTCTAAAGGGATTCATTGATCATACAAATATGACCACAACAGACATGGTCAAGGCAAATCACAGACTGATAAACTCGTCGATGTTCCCGAGCCAATTGCAGCTTGATGCCAGACACGTGCCAGGGAAATTGAACGTCATGCCCGATGCGCTCTCGAGGCTGCCAACGAGAGAGGAAGACGAACCTAAGAAGGACGTTAGTGAGCTCGACGACATTTGATCGAATTTCTGATTCGCATCGCTCACAATAGAAGCATCAGAAGAAACGAAAGCAAAGTTTACCAAGGGATATAAGTCAGACAAGAGGATGAGACGTGTCATGGCGACACTGGAGGAAAGGAAAGTTGGAGAGTGCATGACTGGCATGAGGGCCAAATCCAACCGCATAAAGGTACTTGAGTGTTTTCAAACTCCCCCATGAATTTTCATGTATGTCAAGTTCAAGTTAGCTTACCCTTTACTGCTGGAAAGGGGGACTCAACCTTTGGGCTCATAGCCGCAAGGATGGAGGCCTACTGTCGTTATAGAACCCGGCTGGCTACAGACCAAAGCTTTTTTAGTTGCTAAGAAGTTGAAGCTTCCAACCGGACAGTCGAGATTGTACTCTTGATTATTGCATCTCCACTGCAAATCCCAATCGAGAAGTGAAAGATCAGACCTACGCAACTGTCGGATCTGTGCTGAGATTGGCGGTGTGGCCGGGTAACTGGTTCGATCCTGCTACTGATATCTATACAACATACATGTATTCTTCGTCAAGCTCCGCAGCACCAGATCGACCTAGTTCCGCTCTCGGCTTGTTCAAGTCAACCAACAAATCACTTCTCCGGATTCTGGAGACTGATGACCAACGGAGTGCCAAGTGAGCTTGAATCTCCCTGGAGACCATCTCTTGTTCACCATAAGTAAACAATGGAGGCGCAGGTAGTATTTACTCGACATATTTGCAGCAGAAACCACGACAAGAATTTTGAGAATAAAATCAGGAGAAAAGAAGTCACCGGAAGCAGTATACACAGTTCGTCATCGATGATAAGGGGTATAGAATCTTGATGCTTCCCCATTCATAGATGTGTGAATGAATATTTTGCAATAATTCAAAAACTCGAGATATCTAGACAAAAGGAAGGCCTATATTTATACGTCTATCAGTAGTTACCTGAAGTCAACAATTCTTGACCATACGTGAAGAGCGCCTCGACCTGCTGCTGAACGAGATGCACTTTCCCGGTGAGGGTGACTACGAAATGGTCGTAGCTCAGCGACCGGGGTTTTAAACAGCCGCATTAATCAATCGGCAAGATGTGTTCATAACGGAGATCATGGCAATGGCCAGACTCAGAAGGTCAATACGCATGACAGATGCGCATCAGCGCCATTCCGGCTTGGCCCACCCACCATTAAAGTGTTTGCAGCCCTAAAGTGAGGGGTTTTCATTCCACCCGGGTTCGTCGATAAATACAACCCGACGCCCCCCTCCAAAAGTTGGTTATGTCCAAAGCTTTCTTGTATTGTCGTTTAAAATTGCTGTTTGGGTTCTTTGATCCGAGAGGCCTGGTGAAGACGTTGCGCAGTGAGGACATGGAAAATGAGCTGGACAGGATTTCCATGAGCCAGTCATTGCTATTGGCTTTACTTGCCCCACGCTTGGCGCGGAGTTAGGTATATATACGAAAACTAATTAGTCCTCATCGTCCTTCGGGACATTTAGTCTATTTAAAACGATACAGTAAGTTGCTCCACCAAGGTCCGACGTTCGATTCCCAGTACTAATCCTAAGTTTAGGAGAAGATTAGCATGGCCCCAGCACATGGATGACACGCTCAATCAAAGAGAAGCTACAAATTTTTTTGCGTTTTCTTTTTATTAATATCATTCATCTTCAGTAGGTGAGGTTTTTCATCAAATATCCGAGCTTCTCACTTTTCTTGGGGGTTGGCGGGGTCTTTGCTTTTCCCCCCCAAGCACACTAGCCTACCCTAGAGCGCTCTCATCAACTGGATGTCGAGTCGGCAAACACTCTATCTGCCGAGATGAATCCGTTGCGTAGACCTTCAGTTCCTGACGCCAGATCATCGTCTTAAGATTTCTTCCTACGGCTAAGCATGATTTGGTCGTGTCGATTTCTACATGGAAATTTCCCTCCTTGGTGAGCTTTGTTCATTAATATGTGAACGCCCAACCCGTAGTAGTCTACCTACCTACTCTAGAGTCTCATCCCCTTTGCTTATAATACGTTTGGTGATTGTAGCATCTCACATAGATAGCTGTGCAAGTACAGGAGTGATAACCATGCGCGCCGATTTCCAGTCTCTGTAAATTCTGGGCACTGTGCAGGCAAACAACCAAAACAAGCGGCTGCTGGGAGCTGCCCAAGTTTGAAAGTCGCATACAAGGCATAACTCGACTACAGCAAGTGCGTGAGAAATTATAAAGTACATATGATTTCCGCGGGGGGCTTTTGCGGCACGTATCTGCACTCGCATAGTATACCAATTGCATCGGTGCCAAAGATTCCAGATTCTCCCAGTGTACACGCAGGCAGACATTCTTCTCTCGCAAGGATTCCCAGGCTCAGCGAAAAGCAGGATCTCAACGAGCAGCTATGACACCATTTTAACCTGTTGCCAAAACTGCAATCAGTCCTCGTCATGGATATTGATTGGATACTGCTTCCACTCATCGATCACAACAAGTACAAGAACCTTGTAATACATCTTATTTGCGCCTTAAGTTCTACTTATTCCAGTTCAATCGCCTTTTCACTGTTAATGATATGGGCTACGGTGGCGTAACCAAGCAAGTGGGTGTCAGAATAACAGGGACTGCAAAGTTGATAGAGGCCATGCATGATATTGATAGACAATAATGAAAAGTTATGATAATAATACTAGTTATTAATTATTAAGCAATTATTAGATACTATTGTCTGTTCACTATTACACAATAGAAACATGGTGTAATTGGCTGCTATAACAATTCTGTCGAGGTGACTTTGCAGTCCTCTTGTTCTGCTAGCTACCTTGTATGTACCAATAAGGATCATATTTTTTTCGTGATTCAAGCGAATCATCTGTGAAAGCAAAGAGTAGCTCCCGAGACTGTACCAATAAATAGTGGTTTTCCGAGCATGTTTTCTCCCTCATCATGATCACATGAGTCAGAAGATCAATTGCCTTCTTTTTTTGCCCGTCAGCTCTGTATACTCGTGCGAGTGCATGCTGTGAGTTTAATAGAGATGGGTGGCCCTCTGATAATGCCTCATTTTGGGTTTCAACCAAATACTCTAGCATTTCAACTGCTTGAGTTATGTTCCCTTTATCTTCCAAGACTCTTGCGAATGCATACCATGAGTCGAATAAATCTGGGTGGTCGGCTGGTAAAACCTTTTCTCTAACCCTAACCACATGCTGTAGTAGTTTGGTTGCATTCTGTGTCCGTCCCCCATCTTGGTATGCTTTTGCGAGGAGAAGCTGGGAGGCTAATCGATCCGGGTTGTCCTCTGGTAATATCTTCTCTCTAATTGCAACCACATGCTTTAGCAGTTTGACTGCTTTGTCTCTTTCTCCGTAGAGATGGTATGCGTTTGCGAGTAGATGCTGTGAGAATAATCGATCGTGGTGATCCTCTGAGAATACCTTCTCTCTAATTGCAACTACATGCTTTAAAAGTTCGATTGCTTTCTCCCAATCTCCGTTGTCTTGGTATGCTCCTGCGAGATCTTTCTGTGAGTCTAATAGATCTGGGTCATCCTTTGAGAGAATCTTCTCTTCAATCTCAACCACATGCTCAAGTAGTTTGATTGCTTTCCTTACTTCTCCGTAGGCTCTGTATGCTCCTGCGAGTAATTGCTGTGAGCTTAGTCGATAAAGGTCATCTTCTTGTGATCTCTTCTCTTGAACTATAACCACACGCTCTAACAGTTCGACAGCTTCTTTCATCCGCCCATCTTGACGCAGGCACATGCTAACACAGTATGCCAATAAAGAAATTTCTTTATTCTGGTCATCTGGTGCTGCGTGAAGGACTTTTAGAGCATGCGGGAAATATTGTCGCCACAGCTCACGATCTTCCCAGTCACCATCTGGAAATATCTCAAAGAGGTGCGTTATTACTACCCGTGACTGTTCTCTCTCAGGGTCGTGACTTGCAGTCCATAATTGTGTGGCCAGATGCACTAGACTATGCATATCGTATATCGCGCTGTCTTCTCGTTGACCTAGGAAACCGTACCCACAAAGGGTGCCGATTGCGCTTGTCATCCTTTGTTCTGACCCTAAACTAGGCAGCATCGTTCGAGGTATGGATTTCGGCTCAATGCAAGCTACAAACTGTAGCAGTCTTGCAGCATCCTCATCTGTGTCGCGAATCTGGTTAAAAGATACGATCCATGTAGTGGCGACCGCGCCCTGATCTCTTTGGTAATGGCTGCTGTCGCGAAACCCGCACCTCAATAGCTCTATCATATCCTGATCTGTGTTCTGGAAAAGCTGGAGATAGCCTTTGATTGATACCTTTTTCTGGTTCATGTATGCCGATGCTTGCGCGATGGCAAGGGGCAAGCAAGTGAGCTTCTGCAAAAGCTCGTCGCCGAGGCCACCATCCTGTATTTGAGGGTTGTCAATTAAAGATTTCCTTAAAAGATCTTTTGCCTCTGCCAAACTCATCTCAGGAAGTTCAAGGACCTTGACCGTGACGTTGGTGGCAACCTCACGGGATCTTGTTGTGAACAAAATACGCCCGCTGTCACTATCAGGAAGGAAATTGATAATTCCGCCTGGTTGATCCTCCGGGCCATATAAGATGGCCATATCATCAGCATTATCAACGATTAGAAACCACTTTCCGGCCCTGTCAGAGCTGAAAAAGTCTCGGACTGTTTGTTTAGGGTCTTCGTCTGCAGCACTTGGAATCGCAAAATCTCTAATGACCGCAGTACACGCTTGCTCAAAACTGGCCATGCTGAAGGCGGAGATCCAAAGGACTGAGTAATCTTTCTGTTCAAGTTCATTATTCTTCATTAGATGTGCGATTCGCAGAGCAATCTGGGTTTTACCCATCCCACCTAGTCCGACAAGGGCGACCCGTTGGTGATCTGAATTGACGAAGACGAGCTGCTGAAGGTTGTCGATTATCTCCTGGCGTCCTACAAAGTTTCTGCTTTTTTGAAATGGAAGATAGTGTTTGGTATGCTCTAGTGCAATGTTAGTCATGCAATAGCAGGACAATATCAGGACAATATTCTTATTCAACTAACTGGCTGATACGTTGCTCCCCCTGGCTTCCGTGGCTAGGTCGCTCCGTCCTGAAAGTGGCTCGCTCCTCTCGCCGATCTCCGATATCAAAAATAACAACTCCCCAACAACCCTCTTGAATCCGTTCTCTTCGGCGGAGGAGAATTTAACCATATCTCTATGATTTGCGTGGATGCTGATCGGGTCGTAACCCTCGAAAGTAGCTGACTCTTTAGAAACAACTTTCCCAACTACAGGAAGAGGTAGCTCCTCAAAAAAGCACCGGACCTCAAGCTTTCTGCCTGCCTCACGCTGTTGCCGCACCAGCGCTAAGAATTTGAGTTGAATAGACTCAAGCAGTTGGTCATCAGTTTCCAGAATCCGGAGAAGTGATTTGTTGGTTGACTTGAACAAGCCAAGGGCAGAAGCGGGCACCTTGGCCCAATCAGCCACCCAGGCCCCTTTATGAGGAGTACCCATGAAGATTATGCCTTTGAGGTTCAAGAAAATATCCTGGCGACGTCGTTCCGGGTTGTCCCGCGAGATCAGGATAGCCTCCTTGCAAACAAGACCGCCTAGGCTGTGGGCGACGAAGATGAGAGGGCGAGACGAGGCACCTGCCCTGTCTGCAGTCAAATCTGTGACGAGGTTCGTCGCGTGGTCAATCAGCCGGTTCGCTCCTGCCACTGCTGATTTCAACACAATATATGCATCGTATCCGTACGTGAGTATTCGGGCTCTGTTGATCTTGACCGGAAGGAGCGTCTTGGGCCAGGGTTCTGCTCGCCCGTCTCCATTTCCCTCTCCCGCTCCCCCTGCTCCCCCTCCGCCTCCGTCTGCGGTCCAAGTGCTCATGCGATTTCCTGATAACCCATGCACAAAGACAATATCCACAATAGCATCAGGACAGTCGTATAAGACTTTAACACCGTCTGGGAAACTAGGCGTGATAGGATCTGTAACGGGCCGTGAAGGGTCGAGTGGGGCAGTCTCACGGTCTCTTCCTTGTTGGGCAACAGAAGAAGACGACCGCTTCAGGAAACGTTTGATGAGCCCCATGGTTCAACCTCGTTGGAGAGGGAGTCAGTGAATATGATATCTTTAAGATGAGGAGAGGATTGAGAGAGGGGAACGAAAAGAAAAGAACTTTGCAATAAGGAGCGGGCGGGGAAAGATTTGCTTATGTTCACGAGACTTCTTGTCACTCCTGCAAGCATACTGATCCCTGTTCAAAGATGTATTGGTTGGTTGGACACAGGTGCCTGAAACTACATATGGCACACTAAAGCCTTCATCCAGCTTTGAATTCCGATACAACGTCAAAACAATTAACCTAGTAAGAGACCTAATATCAAGCTAAATATATTTCAAAATAATTTATTATTTTATTCTTATTGTTTTTAGTATTGTCAAAAAAGAACCGAAGTCTCTGGCTTGAACGAAAAGAGCTGTGGTGTGCCATGTTTTATCTCCCTCGCTTGAGGCAGCAAGTATCTTCCGGCCTCTGATACTAGCAGGCGGGCGACTTGCTTCTTGCAGACGCCACAAATACTGCTTGCATTAGCTATTACTTCCTATAGGCCAATATGTTCGCAGCAGGGCTGCAGGTTTATATCACATTTGTGTTACATGAGGGCTGAATCCAATAACGCCTAAGCCTTGAAGCCAGGGTAAAAAAACAGCCCAACGACATCGCTAATTATAGTTCCGAACGTCTTGATTGGACGACTAAAGCCCAGGGCCGTAGAAGATGCATTGCTTGACAGCCACTTGACTGGCATAAAACATGGCACACCAAGAGCATCCAACGTTAAATTTCGACACAATATCACAACAGTCAACGTAGTAATAGCATGATATTGAGCTGAATATTGTAGAATATTCTGCCATCTTCTTATAAATGTGCTTTGTATTATTGATCAGAAAATTAGGACATAAAATTACCAAGAAACGGCTTAGACGGTACATGTTGTTACCTGATAGGTTATTCTACACTTTTCTTTTCTTTTTTGGCTTTCCTCTCGCCTTTTTCTCCCCACTCACCTGTGTTTCTTCTTTCTTGTTACTCCTAATATAAATAATCCTCTTGTGCCCTCACTCTGGCGACTCGTCTCCAATCATTTCAGCGTGACGGAGGTGTCAGTCTGAGCTTGCCACCCAACTTCCAAATCAGACCACACACCACTCTAAGAAGCTATCAAAGTCCAGATCAAGATGGTCTTTGTTATTGCACCCTTTATTATGGACAAATGCCTTGAGCTACGCAAAAAAGCTCTTCAGTCGGGTTGAAGTTGGGAGGATAAGTTGGCAGGTAGCGGAGCAACTCCACACCGACACTTGAATTGTCCTCTCTGACGCTGGAATTACGTCTGAAGTTATTCGCCCCTGAGCACCTAGTTAACCTGGCATTCATGCAGCATCTAATCTCCAATATTGTTATGCCTTGCCCTAGAGTTTTTTCAACAATGAGGTGTCAAGGTGTGTCAGAACCTCATTCACCTAGATAGCTCTCCATTGCGCAGACGTTCAATCGCTAGCGCTAGATCATCGTTCTGCATCACTGTCCGGAAATAAAATTCCGCAAATTTCCTGAACCTCGTCCATTACTATATAGGAACAATACTCTCATCGAATGGCCTGCCAACCGTCACCCCATTTCAACCTGCGGTAGCCCGCCTACCCTAAAGTTCCCTCAAACTGGCCGGTGATGATAGCACTTCACACATTCATATATGCAAATACGGTAGCAACAACTAGACGAGCATTGAATCTAGTCCATGTGTATTCAGGACACTGTATAAGATAAAATGATTCATGAGGTGGTTGCTTTGAGCTGCCTAAATTTCGTCGTCACGCTGAAGCATGACTCGGCAAGTGGTCGACATTGAAATTGAGACACTGAAACAGTAAACTAGATACTTAGGTACTTATTCTCAAATCTACAACCGGTATTATCAGATTATTGAGTCCCAATAATACATACTTCAGAGATATGCCGTATTTATTACCACTTTCTTCCCATTTTTATACTATTGAATTTCTCTATTTATTGTAGAGGGTAAGGTACCTAGTTGATTAACAACCACCCCTCCATTAGGTGTTTCATTTCTATTGTCACCCAACTTGCTCGGTTATCAGAAATGCATGAGTGCAAATGCTTTCCGTGGGGTTTTTTTGCGGCACAAATCTGCAACGTTTCCTCCGAATACCACTTAATAGGTCTCCCCGATACTGGGGCAATTGACTGCCATAATAGTAAGGTACAATGCCCCCAAGCCGTCAATGCAACCATGGCCACTTAACCTCCAACTTCCAAGAAGAGTCGGGCAGACCGCGCTACGGACGATCTGTCCTGTTCAAATCTGAGATGCCCTTTCCGTAATATCGGAGCGGCGGAATTTTTTCAATGCTTGGATCATGGGCAGCTGAGCATCGAGTATTCACATTGGACGGGGGAGTTGGGACGCGCGCCCCTTGCTAGAAGGGGTGGATTGATAGGCGGCTACAGCGCCACAGGAAGGGATGCGGCAGTCATTCGATTACAGCACGACTACCCATCTCAAGGGTGGCTCTGGCAGGCAATATGCAATAGTCTTGCCAGTCAGGAACTTGATGACGACTTATTGTCTGTTCGATGCCGCGCAAGTGGCTGTCAGAGAAACGGCACTGCGAAGGTTTGCCGACTGCCTAACACGAGCCCCATTGTCCAGAGAGAACAGCCCAAAGGAGCGATTAATTGTTAAAATTAGGGTTCGTCGCTTGGTTAGGCAATGAACTTTGTATATTAACAAAGGGGAGCATTGCAAATTAAGATGATGTATTATGCCACCAGCGCCCTCGTGAGGCTACTCGGCGATTCAGCTGGAAGCTAGTGCCGGCCGTGGGCTTTGAACACATCAGATGACATCCTTGATCTACATTTCTGCATGCGTTTTCCAAGGGGGTTCAGCCTTGATCATCACAGGCCTTTGTACACAGTTTGAAGAAGCCAGAGACAGATACGGGAACCTAAATTTCTGGGGAAGCAGAAGCTGGGATGAACAGCCGGTTCTAGATCGATACGAAGGCCCTAAGCACCAGTGATCTGAAATGTGACGCCACACGTCTTCCTCTTTCGGGAACCAACCCTGCCTCAGAATGCGCTGTGGCGCCTCCAGCCACCCCCAGATCAACTACCGGGCTTAGATACCGGTGGCAACGTGGCTGAGGGCGCCAGTCTCCAGACCATTGGATAGCGCTGAAGTAATATTACGTCAGTTTTTGGGGGCACGCGATGGAAGCCAGTCTGCAACGCTATTCCGGGTGGTGGTACGGTGCCTGGCTGCGATAAGAAGGTTATCTTGTATTGGTTGGCTGTGGCCACATGATGTGTCGTGGTTGAGAAATGAGCGATGCTACCTGCTTCTCCGTCCGTTCTTCTTTCTCTCTCGGCCCTTCTTGCGCCGACTCTCAAGTACTCTGCCGGCGCGGTAGCCGGTGCAGACTTCGGCTTGGCCGCATTTACAACGAGTGGCACCGAGGAAGGGCATTATCTCGGGATGAACATGAAATAGGCGGTGATAGGCATGGCTTTGCAGATGTGCATACCCACATTGCCACACTGGTCAATGAGGTTTGAACGTAGCATTCACACCTATGCACATGTAAGGCACTGGGCAGGTACCTGCATTGTCCTGTCTGTAGACTTCAGGTGGGAATAATGGGGCTGGCGAAGAGGCATGACATGGCGAGATAAATCATTAAAAAGGCCCATCGTATCATAGCTCTGAGATCGGGCTCGATCAGATTTGCCGCCCGTAGCTACCACTCACCGCTATCCCTCAAACGGAGGTAGGTGCTTCGTCTCATTCCTCGTGGTGGTTGTGTCCCGGAATCTAGGACAGGTGAACAACACGAACAACGCACCGTATGCCCGCCTGCATTGGGGGGAAGAGGTACATCGAGTTAGTGCGTGAGTGCAAGTGTGTGGTGGGGACTCTTTCGTCCAGCCAGTTTGGTGTGAACGATGGATGTTCAGCAGATGGCTTTGAGGCACACCAAATCAAAATCCTTCTCCGAACGGCGCGCGCCATCCAAAGACCGACCCGGGACCGATCCAAACCATGAGCTCGCTTTCACCTCAGACCCAAGCTGGATCTGCAACTAATGGAAGGCGGCAATTCTTATTGTCTCGATTTAGGTCGTGGTTTACATATTAGTCAAGACCAACAACCGGAGGATTTAATAGAGTAGAGAACCGGGGAGGGTGAGATAGTAATAGCAACAACCCCAACCGTCTTCAGTTAGGCATCTTGTCTCTTTTCGGGAAGACGTGAGCCTCCGGGCCAAAAGGATCAGAAAGTTTCCAACGGTGACCTTATTCTCTTCCGGTCTACCATTTACGATAGCAAGGATGGAAACTGGTGCTACCACGGGCATTTCCACTCACTGTGTCGTGACCTGGAGTGTGATACCACACCTAGACCCCCCACCCAATCTAGGGACTTGGCAACAGCTCACCCTACTGGATGGGGCAACTTTCCAACCAGATGGTGTTAGTTCCAGTTTATGTCCGGCGTCGTTCTTTTTTTACTCACCTCTGCCGTCTAAATATGGGTATTTTCTATTGTGCTGATGTCACTTTCTTTTCTCCGTATTTTCACTTTCTGGGGTGAATATGAATGCCTGAAATGTTGAATCCCCATGGAAGAAAGCTTGCCGAACGCCCAGTGCTGGCACTATGCTATTGAGTGCCAGTCAAATGTGGATGCAGGTGTGTGAACACACGATGGAGAAAATTTGCATCGCCATGGGATGGGAGGGTCGCATCGCGCAAATGTCGGTCTGCAAGCACTCGGGATCGTCCACCAAGCTCTTGTACACCAGGACCACAGCCAGCCATGCGGCAGGAGAGACTAGGAGGGACCCTCCTGTGCCATTTCGCCATTTCGCAATGTCACCGGCCCGTCTGATCTGTAACGGCGTGGTAGGTATTGTGTAGGAGCAGGCCGAAATGCATCTGGTGGTGACTTGTCCTGTGGAGCACCGCACTTAGTGGTAGGCGAAAGAAAAAAAACCCC